GGGCATGCCTGATGTCCTTGGGGAGTGATTTCCAGAGTCTAGGGGCCACCACTGAGAATTCTAGATTAAGGATGCTCAACAGATATTGTCAAAACAAAAATTATGAAATCTTAAAACAGAGAAAAATACTTTGCTTAATAATATTATAACTTAAGTAATGTGGTACCAATTTTGGTGTATTTTGTATGGGATACTATAGGGACAGTAAAGGCCTCAATTTTCATCACTATTTATCAACAGGGACCATTATCTAATTTGATCGGGATAGGCCACTTATCATAAAATGCCTCAGTGTAAATACATTATATTATGACATAACTGGTATGCTATTCTTCCGAAAGGAAAAAAAAGACCAAGGCAAGACTGATAGTATTAGTTTACTGATAAGGTAGATGCCTGGAGAATCTGAAAGTATAGTGGATATATTAGACTTTGGAGAATGTTGTTGTAACAATAAAATAGGAAGACCCTTTGTGAGCCAAAAGTCTTAAACCACTGAGAGCATACAATGTGTGCTGGAATAACGGCTCCTAGCCAGTTGCTGTGGAGGATGCCATTTCCAGCTCCCCTTTCTCTTCTTATTAGAGAGCAAGCCTGCCACAAGGACTCTTCTACTCATTGCAGGTTTATTTATAGGAATCTTTCTCCTTCTCTCCTGATCTGAAGCTAAATGGACCACCTTCACTATTTATTTATTTATTTATTTATTTATTTATTTACTTTATTTGTATACCGCTCTTCTCAGCCTTTAGGCGACTCAGAGCGGTTTACAACAGTTTAGATATACAGAATACAAAATCATTATGCATTTAAAAACAATTACTAGTATTATATTGCATTACAATATTATAAATATTATATGTATATACAATATATTATATTATAACATATTATTAGAATAGCACAGGAGACAAGGTGGAACTGTCCCCTGGCCTCCCCTCTCTTTGCTCTGGCCCAGAGCTGCAGTTGGTGCTGGGGGGAGGTATAGTCTAAATGGATGTTTGAAGGTTACATCCATTCCTAGGGGAAGATGTGGAGAAAAAAATCATGTGGAAGCAGCCCAGCATCTGCACATCATTGCCAACTTCCACTAAGTATTTATTTATTTATTTTTATTTCTGCTACTTATACCCCGCCCTTCTCACCCCCGAGGGGGGACTCAGGGCGGCTTACAAAAAGAAGGCACAATTCGATGCCCTTATCCAAATACATACAAATATAAAACAATTACAATAATTAAACAATTAACAGATTAAAAACATCAATATATAACACAATAGCACAACAATAAACAGTCTCATGGTCAGTGTTTCGAGTTCCATAGGTCCAATAGGTTTCGTCATTATTTGCCCATCATTATGGTCTTTCTTTTTAGCTGCCAAAGTTTCCAAAAGCCTGGTCCCACTTGTGCACCAAATGAAACCAGTTCTAGTTTTTAACCTCTGGAATCAGTTCTGGTTTTGATTCCAGAAACAAAGGTCCCCTCCAGGCAGGCCCTATATCCCAGGATCTGATTCCAAGTTTTCTGTTTATCCCATATTATTTATTTATTTCCTATATTTCTAACCCAGTCTTCTCATCCTGAGAGGGACTCAGAGCAGCTTACAAATAAGGCAAAATTCAATGGCACATTATAAATACAATAGACAAAAACAAATATAAAGCTGTAAAACCAATAAAACATATAAATACAATTAGCACAGATTAAAACATAATGCCCATTCCCAAACCATTATTCATGGTGCTGCATTTAAGCCAACTTCCATATGCATATTCCATATTGTGCTACTGCCTGGATACCTGGTTCCAGAGCCAGGTCTTTAGGTTCTTCCTAAATATCAGGAGGGAGGGGGCCAATCTGATGTCACTGGGGAGGGAGTTCCATAGCTGGGAGGGCCACCACCAAAAAGGCCCTGTTTCTCATCCTTACCAGTTGAGCTTGTGAGGGGGGTGGGATTGAGAGCAGGGCCTCCCCTGCAGATCTTAGTGCTCTAGCTGGTTCATAGGAGAGATACGTTCTGACAGGTAAGTTGGGCCAGAACTGCTTAGGGCTTTATAGGCTAAAGCCAGCACTTTTAATTGTGCTCAGTAGCAAATTGGCAGCCAGTGGAGATGATGCAACAGGAGAGTTGTATGCTCCCTGTATGCCACTCAGGTAAGCAACCTGGCTGCCCCCCTTTGAACTACTTGAAGATTCTGAACAGTCTTCAAAGGCAAGCCCACGTAGAGCACATTGCAGTAGCCTATTTGAGATGTAACAAGAGCATGGACTACAGTAGCCAAGTCTGGCTTTTCAAGATTATCTGGCAGTGCAAACTCATATAATCCAGTTTAAAGTGGAAAACCTGGGATCAGATCCTCAAATATAGGGCCTGTATGGAAGGGCCTTAAAACAATTTGAGCGGGCATCTAAAAGTAGATCTTATTATCAATTCTTTTTTCCTTTTTTTACTATTTTCATTTATTTTGAACCCAATTTTGTGTAATGCTTAGATCATTTATATTTTATAACTCCACTGACATTATACAAATAAATGATTATTTATGTTACCTGGGTTTGTGATCCAGACCTTCCTATTCATGCAGGCCTTCAACAAATTACTACTGTATGTTACCATCAGAGATATCATTGGGCAAACGTGTTGAACCTATAAATATTTTACTGCTTATGTATTATTGCTGAAGCATTTTCAGCTTTTTCTATTCACAGTTTAATAGTATAATTAATTTAATTTATATGTTATTTTGTGTGATTTATTGTGTTTTTTATTGGAAGTTGTTCAGTTGAAAACCAACTTGTCTGTGAAGTCTGGAAGAAAGGTGGGGATATCAAATCAATGAACAATTTTTTAATGGCAAAGCAAATCAATAAATTAAAATGTAAATGGGAAACATCCTAACCATATATTAGAATTTTGGCAGCCGTTGTATAACAAAGGAGCTATTTGAATCATGATATTTGAAAGTTGATGTTAAGGTACTGTCAATGTTTGTTTTGTTTTTTATTTGTCATTATGACTGATATTTGACTACAAAGCAATGAGGCCTTATCCTAAGCATTTCAAACTAGAAGGATCAGCACTTGAAGCATATTTGAACTATAGCTTCCAGATTCTTCAGCTGTGGCATGTCTTCCAACTTTTGGTTTTAAATATATAATTTTCCAAACTCATGTCACCATTTTAAATTAGAACATTGGAATATCTTTATTTTATTTATTTTGTGTCAAAAGCGTTACATAAATTTGTCTGTTTGTGGAGGGAAGAAAGATACCTTCTGGTTAATATGTTGTACAGCAATGCTTTTGAGTTTTGCCATTTACAAGAAACATTGCCCAAGGGACTCCCGACTGTATTTCCTCAGTCTTCGAGGAGGCTCTTTCTGTGTCCCCTATTAAGGTCTCTTTTAAGTGCAGAATTGATGCTGTAAGGTAATCTACATTGGTGAATTCAGTGACTTCTTGATTTTTTGGATAAACTGTCAGGCCTTACTCTAAGTTCACAGGGAATGAAATGTATTCCAGATGTTGGGTTTTTTTGTGTGCCAGTAGCGACTTGAGAAACTGCAAGTCGCTTCTGGTGTGAGAGAACTGGCTGTCTGCAAGGATGTTGTCCAGGGGATGCCCAGATGTTTTGATGTTTTACCATCCTTGTGGGAGGCTTCTCTCACATCCCCGCATGGGGAGCTGGAGCTGAAAGAGGGAGCTCATCCATGCTCCCCCTGATTTGAACCGCCAACCTGTTGGTCTTCAGTCCTGGCGGCACAAGGGTATAACCCATTGCGCCACCAGGGGCTCCATGTAATAAGTGCATTCAACTCTTTCAGAGGTACACCTGAAAATGTCCTGAAAAATATCCATGGCTACTCCAATCCATTTTATAGTATCCAGTGCCTGATTTACTTTCATAAGAAGAAGGTTACAAAAGGACCAAGATTTGGAGAGATACTTCTTCCTGCTCCTCCTCCTTCCCCAGATGTGCAACAACAGGCTTAAGGGCACAGTGTATGCTTACTCCTTCATTTGAGTGAGCTAAAGAGCAGAGGTACACCAAAGTACACCTCCACAGCCCATAAGTGGCTGGGGACTAAGGGTGCATTCGGGAATCCCTCCAGTTACTATTATACATCAAGACATGGAGTATTCTGCCATGAGATTCAGGACACCCCCCCCCCCATAACCTCTGAAAAACACTTCTGTATTCTCACAAATAGCAAAGATCACATGACTATCCCTGCCTCACGCATTGAAAGTTCACACAACAGGACTGTATGGAATAGCTGCAGCTCTGCCGATGATCATTGCATCCTCTTTCCCACTGAAGGAAGGTGCAGTATAGTGTGATGGTGATTATGTATTATAGAATGCGCAACCGTAGCGCAGAACAGTGGTTCCCAACCTTTGGTCCTCCAGTTGTTTTGGACTTCAGCTCCCAGAAATCCCAGCTAGCTTATCAGTGTTAAGAACTGAGGGAGATGAAGTCCAAAACACCAGGAGGACCAAAGGTTGGGAGCCACTGATGTAGAACAACCAACACACAGAGGCTCTTTCAGGCAGCCTTGAGGAGCCAAACTCATTGGAAGAAAGCTGATGTAGAACTTTAATTAAGATACAAGCTGATTTCTTTCACCTTTACATATACATGGGAGAGGTTAAAAAGATTGAAAAATAAACATATTGAATTAAAACTGCCAAAATCCTCCCCAGCCATAAATCATGCTAATATAGGGAATTTATTGTCAGAAAGACAATGTTTCCAAACTCTGGGTATCTGTTTCAAGGTATATCCATACTACATAATTGCAATACTGTATTATCATTTTAATATCTTCTGAAACCCTGTAATTTTTTTAATTGATGAGATCAACAGTGGTGAGTTCAGATTGATTGATTCCATAATCAATGGACCCATGCCATGTAGAGGCATCAAACTGCTATCATTTTGCTATTGTTGCCACACATACTAACCATTTTTGTTTCCCTTTTTCTTTCCTCCTTACAGTCCTGGTACCTGGGATAAAACTCTCGGCTTCCCACCATCTGCCAGACCGACCACCTGACCCCTTCCCAACTCTGTAACATGGAAGCAGCCACAGTGCAGTGCAGTTACTTCACCTCTGTGGAAGGGAAGATGAACAGATACTGATAGCAAACAACTGCTTATCTTCAAAAAATGGCAAAAGTTATGGTTGATCAACAAAGGCCGTAACATTGTTCAGGGGCATGGGGAGGAGGGGGATTTTTTTTCAACAACAACAAAAATAAGAACACCTTAGTGACCGATGTAATTTCTCATATGGTGCTGGAAATGTTTGGGCTTCATACTTTTTGAAGTGTTCAATTGGTAGTGTAAGCATTAGGGACACTGGTAGTAGAGCCAGCCTTCTGGCTGCTTACTGACTTGCTGTTATAACACTTTCCATATGGCGCCTAACTGTTTTACAGTATTTTCACTGACTTTTCCCCATACAGGTGTGAAACTTCTTGAGAAATCATAAGGAACACACGTTAAATGATAACTTTTGCAATACCTGAATTCTGCAATACAGAATTTACAGGACAGACCTGGGGGTTGGGTTTTGCTTTTTGTTTTTTTCTGTAACATATCAGTTCTTTTTTTTTTTCAATTGCAGTCAGCGGTTAGTTAGATATGTGACATGAATCATAAGAACATTATCAACAAGTTGATTTTCCACCCAAGTTGCAGAGAAATATGAAAGATCAACCTACTGCTGTTCACGTGAAATAGAAAAAAGGGTTTAAATGCTGCACTTACATAAAGCATTTGTGACAATTTTCAACAATGACATAAAATCCACATGGAGATGGGGAAGTTGGTCTGTTTTGATAGAAACTGAAAGAAGTCAATCAAAACAATCGAATTTTGAATTGAGAAAAGTGCAATTTCATTGGATAGCTAAATATCTTTGTAAGATAGAGATTGTTGAAAATTCTATTTTTGTTTTCCAAGTCCTATCACCCCAGGACTCTAAATTATTGGGGTAAAAAACAGCCTTGCGAGAAAAAAAGGGGGAGCTATTTTTGCTTTTTATGTTTTTTATTGTTAAACTTGTATCCCTTTAAAACTGAAGGAAATTTTAAAAAAACAGAATTTAATGGTGCTTTTACCACACTATGTTATCTACATTAAATGCTAATTAATCATTTTCTGTTATCAAAGCACATAATTAAAATTAAATCATAATATCTGTTAATTTTATAAGCTAAAAGTCACTATAATAAATTATGCCAATTCTGACAAATCATATGTGTTTCCGGCAATATAGGGTATATCACTTCTCAGAATACCTTGGACACAACCCAACACGGAAGTAGGTGTGCTTAAGCCTTTTGGAACAGATGGCTTTAAGCCTGCCTCTCCCTGCATTGGATCGTGGCCCTTGAGACAATAATAATAAGACAGAGCTGTCCAGAACGTAGAACCCCTTTGTATCCCTGAACTGGCTTTATTTTTCCTGGACTGCAAAGGCAGCAATACAGAAGCAAAATGCTGATTATATATCTTGTGCCAGTTCAAGGCAATGACACTTGCTTAGACAAAACAAAAAGATGATGAAGAAGAGTTTGGACCCCAAATGTCCTGTATGTTATGTACAAAAAAGAAAAAAAAGGAAAAGGAGGAAAAAAACAGCAAAAAAATGCAAGAGATTTTTTTTTCTATCAGACAGCGGAGCACCCCTTTGCTTCCCATGCAACTTTAAGAAGGTTTCCTATATTATACATATATATACGTTCTGGTTGGCCGATCTAGCTAATCAGAGAAAGTCTCTGCATGTTCTAGTGTTAGTAACTAATTTTTATATAGTTAATGTAGGGTAAAGTAGAGTGCATTAAGACACAATATTGTAATCCCTAATCCAGGCACTTGCCTTTAAACTATGTTTGTTCAGCCCTTCAGAAGGGTTTCTACTACTGTCCTATACAATCAAGTAAACTGAATTTCTTGGGAAGACACTTTGCTCCTCATCTTTTCCCTAAAACTAATTTTTTTGTTTTGTTTTCTTGATTTGCACGAAACAAAAAAAAAAGAATTCCATATCAATGTGCCTTGCCCTGGATAGCGATTATTTGTGGAATTGTTGCACATGTTCCTATATTGAAAGGGGTTTTTTCTCCCTAGTCAAGCATTTGGAGACACTTTTTTGTAAATGTGACTTTTATGTCAGCCATTGTCAGTTTCGGCATCTTAGAACTGAGTAGAGCGTTAGTTGTTCCACAGATAGGGGTAGTGTTTTCTTGTCCTGTACGGTCAGTGGCAGTGCTATTCTAAGATCTGTAGATGCTAGATATCAGTATTTTTGATGTTGCTGCATTTTACATTTTATTTGGAGTCTTCCTCTTGTTTTGTTTTTAATTTTTTTTCTCCCAGATATATGAAAATATGCAATACCTGCTTATATCATGTAGAAGAAAAGCTTAGCAATTCTTGATTTTTCTTTTGACTTTTTTTTATTTGACCAAAGTCGGTGCTGCAATTGACGCAGTGTGTTTTAGGTGTTTGTCTTTGTACTTTTTTGTTGTTGTGATTTTTTTTTGAATGCACACGCAGGAAGGGCTCTTCTTAGAGAAGCAGTCAAACTGTGAAGCACTAAGCTGAACCCTGCTTCAAGCAATTTTTTTTTGTTTTACAACTGTTCCTTTCACAAGCAAGCCTTAAAAAAAAAGAAATCCCTTTTTCTTCAGATCCCACACCCATTTTTATTAGCAGATTGCAATCAACCCACATTCAATAAAAAGTATATAATGCCCATTTTTATATGCACGTTTTTAAACTTCCAAGTTCTGAAAATTGTTTACTGGTTATTCTCTATTTAAAGAAAAAAATGTTTTGGATTTTCATATATGTCAAATAAGTGGTTGAGTAGTCATTTGCTCTGTTGTATTGTGTGATTGTTAGTATTATGGTATCACATCCACTAGCCAGCATCTTTTGCCTTCCCTATAGCACTTAGCAGGGCATTACCTTATTAAGACATATGTGCACTAAAAAAAAGAAGAAAAGATAAAAAAATAGCAGCTTTCAGTGCTTCACAGTGAAGGGAAAAAAAGCCTAGACAAACATTTTGTCAGAACCTTGCTATAAGCCAAGGTATTACCAGTGAATTGGTTGTATATACAACAAAATTGCACCCTTTTTTAAAAAAGAAAAACAAAGCAAACTAAGCAATAGTTTGGGCAGATAGTTGTTTTTAGTGAGCATGTCGTAGTCATGGCCGCAAAGAGCGAGAATCAAAGCTGCCCACGCAGAAGCGATGTAATTTGTATGTTGTATAGTTTTATTGATTACACTGATTTATTCTACCCTATTTTATAATGCAGGACTTTTGTAATGTTGTTTAAATGAGGAAAAATTCTGTCAAATTAGCTTAGCGGAATTTCTGATTGTTCGTTATAAAGGCAGCATTCATAGAATTGCTTTTTTTTCCTTTGGGAACTGGATTTAAGTTTAAAACTTTCCTGTTTCCTTTTTGTATGTATTTAAATACAGTTATTATTTTTTTTCTTCTCTCAATAGTATAGCATATTCCTATGCTTGAGAAGTATAGGCTACTGAAGAACCATTGTAAATGGACATTACAGATATGCTGTATTTTTGAAGGTGTTTTATCATATTAAGTTTGAAGATGGTAAAGTTAGGGAAATTCTGATCGGAATTGTGTCAAAACAAATTGTTTTCAAGGCTTTAAACGTTAGATAGGGCGGTCAGGGGTGTTTACCAACAGGAGTTGTAAAGTATTAAAGACACTAAATTCAATGGTGGTTCATCTGATTTTCATGCAGATACACAACAATTCGGATCTGTTCAAGTGTGGAGAACAAACAGAGTTTTATTCCTCGAAGTAGAGCAGAGAACGGAGATCTGAGGGGAGACAACCGCATGGGGTGTACAGTCGACAATAGAGAAATAATCTCGATTCACACTTAGAAAGCAGATTCACACGCGCACTTGCCCATTCCAAAATTGCTTTTCATCCTTTGTACAAACCAGTTTTCTTTCTGATCTTTTTCTTTGAGAACTGACAAACGCACAACACCGACTTCTGCTTCCTCACACAAAACACAAACAGGAGCCCACTTGGAATTGACACTACCGAAAATAGTCTTTTTGTTATTATTATTATTATTATTCCCCTGACCCCTTTTCAAAATAGGACTCTAGCTTGTTATTATTATTCTGCACACCCCTGCAATATTGTAATTATTCATCTTATTATATATATATTTTTAAACGATAGGCCAATATCACCCATGAGTATACCTTGTCTGTATTGTAAACTCTCCTCCTTCTCTTTGGAAAGTTGAAGAGTAAAGGAATAGAACCTTTTCCAGCTCCACAGTATTCAGTCAGCCCACAGGAATATGCAAAATCCCTCTACCTAGCTTTCTTTCTCTCTATCTTTTTCATTCTATATATTTTGCAGCTTAGTAGTGACAGTGTTAACATTTACCGTACACATATACACAACGAGAACCCCAAATACATAACATAAACCGCTTTTTTGCCCCTTGTGTTTTTTTTTTCTTAAATGTCACCATTATACTTTGCATTGTGTCTCTGGAAATATCTTCTTTTTTTAAAAAAAAATGATTTTACTTTGGTAGAAGACCTCCATAGAACAAACATTGCAAACCACAACCGGCATAGAAATGGAAGGAGAGCTTCAATGGCACCTAAATGAAACCCATCTTTCATGAAATCTATTGGAGATCTCATGAAGTGAACTCTGCCTACCAGGCAAGGTTTCCATTAAATCAAGCTTACAGAGCCAATTTTGTCTTGAAGTCAATGCATGTATTACTGTTTGACAGTAAAACCCGGCTATGCCACCATCAAGTCCAAGGCTGTGCAATAGTCTAATTAGTATCGAGTACATTTTCCTTTTATTTTTTTCCCAATAAAAAAGCAGTGGGATGAAAATTGCTTTGATATATAGCAGGTAACATTGAAGCTATTCCATAGCACTTAACTGTAGTGAATACTGTGTCACCAATTCTGAAATCAATTTAATGTTTAATGCAAATCCATTACATGGTGCTATTACAGGCTGGCAAAATGATTTACAAAAATGTGACAACTTGGGCTCAATTCACTCTGCTTTCCAACAATGTAAATGCATAGCAGTGTTTATCTGCATGAGAACTATGCACTAATATAAATCTGAAAAAAGAGAAAGAAATATATCAACTTTGGTATCTAGTTTCTGTTTACTTCAATCCTTGCCTTTTTGGTCATTATTATAAATGCCAGCTTTAGGACAGAAAGAAAATATAAGAAAACCAGCATAATACCTGATATATTAAAAATGTAGTGCCTGTGAAATCTGTATTATATTGCTCTTCTGAAGTAAGATTTTTCTACACCAGTAGCCTTCGCTGTCTGTCAGAACCTTCTGATATAGGTGATGTAAAATAACCGTACAATATTAATGCATGCTATTCCATAATGCTTAGTGAGCTGTATGAATATTACTCAAAGTTATGTTAGTCTTTTTTTTCCTGACTTGGTTCTTGTCAGATAGGTTTAAAGATATTTCATTGAGAACACAACTTCTGGGTTTTTTCTCTCTTGATTTTGGGTGTTTTCAGTATTTTGAAGATATACAGTTAACTTAAAATTCAGTATTATTTGTGGGGGGCATTCTTTATTCTTGAGGGAAGGCATGGGTTTCAAATAAAAAAAATCCTTGCCTGGTAGGGTTTTGTTCTGTTCTGTTCTGTTCTGTTTTTTTCGCTTAAAGCATCCATAAGAACTCTTTAAGAGCTCAATCTCAGAAGAAAAAACAAGACATCAAGTTTCAAAGTAAGGAACAATCCTCAAGCTTGGAACTGACCTTGAAAGTGGTTTCTTAATGGACAATATTCAAACCAGGTACCCATGTTTGACCCTTCTTCACACCAGACCTCCTTATATTAAAACAAACTTTTAAAGAACCTTTTAAAACCCAACGTCATATGGCTCTTTAGTTTCATGCATTGTTGCATTTTTTTCTTCAAAACTCTGTATATACTTTGGGCCCGATTCATGAATGGTCACTGGGCATTAACATAGGATTTTGGTGTATATTTTTTAATCCAAATTTGGGGACTTGTTCTTTCATTCTAAGGCCAATAGAACTTCAGCACATTGCTGTTGCCAAGATTTGACATAATTTTCACATCCACCCAAGTTCTACATGAAGGCAGAACAAGATTTGGAGCGTATAACTTGCGTACATGTATCAGTTACCATGAAGGAAAACATTTCCTAAGTCATGCTAATTTGTCTAGAGCTTCCTGAATTCTGCACTCTGCTCAGATATAAGAGTTTTACTATCTTGCTCAACAAACTCTCTTGGCCACAGGAAGATCTACTGGATTTTGTTTTCATGACCCTCCCTAGTCAAAGCAGTATAAGAGAAAACATTTACAATCCAGTATTTCACCAAGTATTTCCTTACTCACATTGAGTGGCAAGCCTCAGATCAGTGAACAATTCTTCTCCAAAAGAAAGAGAGAAATCTAAATGTGAATGAGAGCGAGAAGATTGGCAGTTTAATGTAGAGGTATCATTCCAACTCAATGATGCTTAGAGAGCACAGATATTAAATATAGCAACGTGGCTGAGTGGACAGTCTCTCACCTGTACCTCTGCTATTATTGCTGCTGTAAAAAAGATTGGAAGCTCGCTTTGCAGTTATTTTTCAAGATTGCAAAATGTGTTTGTGGAAATAACCACAATATACCTACGGTTGGCCTTTGCACACTGAGCAATTCACTCGTGCAGATCTAATAGATATCCCTGATATCTATTTTTTTCCAATTTGGTGTAACAAAAGTTCTTCCAATATATATGTGAAATATCTGCTGCAAAATCACTTGATCCCTGTGTTAATACTCTCATGACTCCACCATTGTATGAATCGGGTCCCTTGTGCCTCTAGTATCCTTGTATTGACTCTCATAGTTACCATTTTAGTTTTACTGTGTTCTGTAAAAATTTTGCAATTGGTTGAAAATCACTGTGGGCATCCATTCTTTTTTTTAAAAAAAAACTAAATCTCTGCAGGTTTTTTGAGCTGGTGTGGATTAGTTTAACACTTGTATTCAACCATTAGTGCTACCACCCTCTCACATTACAATACGATTACTGGAAGCAAGTACTGCATTTCCTATGCAACAAAAAAGGAAAATAAAAAATTGCTAATGCTAACACGTTTCATTGTTCTTTAGTCTATAGTGTGTATACAAGTTATTGTTTGCTTTCAAGATGTTTCCTACTTATGGTGACCCTAAGGTAAATTTATCATGGGGTTTTCTTGCTAAGATTTGCTCAGACGATATTTTCTATTGCCTTCCTCTGAGATGAAGAGATTGTGTCTCCATGACTGAGCAGGGATTCAAACCCTGGTCTCTCAAAGACTTAGCCTAAAACTCAAACCACTACACAGAGGTATTTCCTTGCTGCTTCCGGCAACCTGTATGGTAACAGTCTAGCATGAATACTCCTATGTATTTACGGAACTGTGAAAATAACTGTCATATTTTGTACATTTTCGATTAGCAGGAGCACTACTGAGATATTGGGGTGAGAAAAAGCATACTAAATGTTTGATATTGGCAATACTGACTTCACTAACAAAAAATAACAATACAAATATGTATTTCAAAGGATTTCAGGAAAAAATATCAGTAGAATATATTCTACCTATGGCCTCCTGGTGGCATAGCAGGTTAAACCGCTGAGCTGCTGAACTTGCTGACTGAAAGATTGGCGGTTCGAATCTGGAGCCCATGGGTGAGCTCCCACTGTTAGACCCAGCTTCTGCCAACCTAGCAGTTTGAAAACATGCTAATGTGAGTAGATCAATAGGTACTGCTTCTGTGGGAAGGTAATGGCACTCCATGCAGTCATGCTGGCCACATGACCTTGGAGGTGTCTACAGACAATGCAAGCTCTTCAGCCTAGAAATGGAGATGAGCACCACCACCCAGAGTCGGACATGATTAGATTTAATGTCAGGGGAAACCTTTCTCTTTACCTATATTCTACTTGAAGTTCCAGTCTAGAAGGAGGTTTCCAGATCCCCAGATCTTAACTACTGTATTAAGAGCTCTAGAGCACAAACAGTGTAACAAGAAGAGCTCACACCCTAATAATAATAATAATAATAATAATAATAATAATAATAATAATAATAATCCTTTATTTGTACCCCACTACCATCCCCCAAAGGACTCGGTGCGGCTTACACAAGGCCGAGCCCAAATACAACAATAAAACAACAACAATAATACAGCAAAATAAAACAAAAACAAGCAATAAACATTAACAACACGCAATGATGCAGTTAAAAACAATGGCCAGGCCAAATGTAATAATTAAAATTAAAATTTTAAATAATTGAAATTAAAATTAAAAGTGCTGGGCATGACAGGTGGGATGTTTGGAGGGGATGGACATGCAGATATCTGATAAAGTGCGTTGGGACATAATGCTAGGAGTTTCCTTATTCTGGAAAGGCACACTGGAACATCCACATTTTCAAGCTCCTCCTAAAGATTGCTAGCGACGGGGCCTGCCTGATGTCCTTAGGGAGAGAGTTCCAGAGTCAAGGGGCCACCACCGAGAAAGCCCTATCCCTCGTCCCCACCAATCATGCTTGCAATGCCAGTGGGATCGTAAGTGGGGCCTCTCCAGATGAACGAAGAGATCGTGTGGGTTTGTACACTGAAATGCGGTCACGGAGGTAGGCGGGTCCCAAACCATTTAGGGCTTTGTAGGTAAGCACCTGCACCTTGAATTGGGACCAGAAAATGAATGGCAGCCAGTGGAGCCCCTTAAACAGGGGGGTTGACCTCTCTATTATTTGAACCCATTATGCAGGTAACAACTCGGAGCCTTCTTTCTATGGATATCAGTGTGCCATTCTTACTACTATCAATTGATTTCTAATTCTAGTCATCCTAAACTAGCAGGGTATCGTAGGCAGACGTCAGGGGCATAGGAATGTGGTTCTAAACCATCCTTGAGTTGCCACTCTGGCTGATAGAAGCTATGTGAAGAAGAAAACCTTTAAATCAACCAGAATCTTGGCAATGAGGAAGACTGTGTCTCAGGAAACCAGTCTCATCAACAAAAAGATGAACCCACTATAACATGCTTGCTCAATATCTGAGTATCTCCAGGATTCTGCCATTGGCATTGCTGGTTGAGAGATTCTATTTTTCATTGTATTGATATGCTTTTGTCAGAAATCTCCACAAACAAATATTGTAGAAAGATAATGTGAATACTTCCAACACGGGATGCTCAGGGGTTGTTTTTAGAACTCTAGATACAATAGCGAAGGCATGGCTTAAATGATTTCCACACCTTGCACACCTTTCACAGACCTTGTAGCTGCAAAAAACAGAAAGATTTAAGTTTCTATTTTATTTCTATTTACAGTCAGGAACAAATCATACCCACCCCCACTCCAGACAACCATAGCCTCAAATTGCAATGTCCTGGCTAGATAAGATTAAAACCAGGAACTTGCTCAGCAGTTTGCTCTATGATAAATGAGCCTGGTTGAAACTCAGAAGAAGCTACACATTTTCACTCCTGCCCTATCAGGTAGCCTCATTCAAAACCATGTCTCTTGAAAATATGGTTGTCATGTTGGCTGGGCGTTGGAAGCTGCTTCCTTCAGAACTGCAGAACACAACTGCAACTTCAATATATAATGACTTTGTTGCTTTGTGTCAGTAAAAAATACTGGAAAATGCTGTAGAGAAATCAGATTTAAGACTATAATAATAATAAACCTTTATTTGTACCCCGTTACCATCTCCCGAAGGACTCGGTGCAGCTTACACGAGGCCGAGCCCAAAATACAACAATAAAACAACAACAACAATAATACAGCAAAATAAAACAAAAAACAAGCAATAACATTAACAACATGCAATGACGCAGTTAAAAACAATGGCCAGGCCAAATGTAATAATTAAAATTAAAATTAAAAAGTGCTGAGCATGACAGGTGGGGTGTTTGGAGGGGGGTGGGCATGCAGATTATCTAATGGGCACAGAGAGATTATAATAGTTTAGGTGCCCTTTGTATCCCCCCTCTCTCTATATGTATTATATATATAGTAAAATTGTATAGTGATATAAATGTATAAAGTTATATAAACTACTGCATAAAACCCCATTATTTGTATGTACAAATAAATGCTTTATACCCACAGAAGTGGCAATACATAGTAAAATCAGAAAGTGATGAGATAGAAGCCACAACTTCCATCTTGTTGTGTCCTAAGCAGCTTCCTTCTATGCAAAAAAAGAGAGAGGAATGTTTTTTTTTCATTCAGCACTCTCAAGTAATATTTGAGCCAAAATCACAGTCTTCTTTTCCCACAAAAAAGGGAGAAGCACAATATAGACTCCCTTTGCTATCTTCTCCAGTAAAACACCACCCCACCCCACCCCACCCCGCCCAAGAAATGTCTGTTGGTGGAGGAGGGCAAGGGCACCTCGACTAAAAACAAGCTTCTATTAAGCTAATAAAAGTGTTGTGTAACCTTGACTGTGATCACTGTCTTCACCTTTATACAATCAGCCATTTGTAACCATAGATTTTTCCACCGATTCAACCATCTACTATCTTCAAAATATTCTCCAAAAAGGTTCCAAGAAAACCCCTTTGATTTGGTCATTTTATGTGAGGGCCACTATTTTAGTGCACAATGTATATATTACAAGTTGAACATTTGTGGATTTTGGTATAGTAAAATGGCAAAATCAAAATTTGCTTTTGGCATTTGGCTTTTTAGCTTTTTTTCAAGCTGTTGATGGCTGTATCTGTGGATGTGAAGAGCTGATTGTAGTTTCCACTGACTGAAAAGCCCCAGATATATCCTGTGTGGTGGATAATACCATGTGTTTTAAATTGAAAAGTGCTGTAAATTCAGGACAATTGGCTATTTAAGGTCCTTAGGATATTTTCTGTAGCATCGTGAGTTTCTTCTTAAAGGTTTTGCCATATATTCTTTAAAGACCTTAGCATTTTTCCTTAAAGGTTTCAGTGATTTTTCTCCATGAATCATCCCAGAACAAGGATTGTCCCATCCATGGGTTCCAGGAATGTACATTTGTGGCCATTTCAAATCATCACATTGTCCATAAACCCCAAACAGCTGATTTAAAGTCATGTCTGCATTATAACTGTATAATGTGTCAGATTTTTTAAAAGCTCAGAGGAATGTTTTCCCTACAAAACATTTATCCTTCCCAACATAGAGCCATTTCAGCAAACCTTTTAAAATATTTGAAAGAGCCCTGGTGTGATGTAAGAAAAAGGCATTTTTAACAAAAGCATAACAAAAGTATAATTTCTAACCAATTAATAGATAGCAAAATGTACAATGCCTGCCATACCATTAAAGACAATATGAGGTCCCTTGTATGAGCTCAATTTCATGTGTTCATGATATATGAGCTCCAAAATTTTGCGTCAACTTTCAAGCTTATTGATTTGAAATTATATCCTGAGGGATCTCTTGGGTGTCAGGAAGAATTTCAAAAGGAACAGCCTTTTAAATTCATCTTGTGTGCTTATTAGGCTATTTAATCCCTTCCTCAAAGTGTAAATGTTTCTGATAATATGGGAAGAAAGGGAATGGGGAAGCATTATTAAAATAGTGGGTTAGCTTAATGCCTTTTATTTGCCAAAGTCAAGGCAGTGCTGGAGATATTTATTGGTTCAGTACTTCAGCAACATGGTATTAATTGCCTCTGAGTGTTTTGATAGGTAGTTAGCACAAGGGTATTAATGAAAATAGCACCACTTCATTTTAAAATTAACTACTTGGCTATTGAGCAACATGAGCTGATAAATTATGGCAATAAATTTGAAATGGAGATTTATGTAATCATAACTCAAATTTAGCTCCGGAGGAGCACTAAGATGAGGCTGTGTGATCACTTCAGTATAATCTTCCTTCTCACTTAGAACAAAAACTATATTTTAAAGGATTCATTCACACTAGGCTTAACCATGAGCACTAACTACTCCACTATTCCTTGCTCCCCTTCTCTAGTGTGCATCTCTATAGCAGAGCTAAGTTCAATTACACATTGGTAATTATAGGAACTGCACATTTCTCTTTGCTAACCAAGCAGAGTATGTTTTGCATTTGGAGGCATAATATTGCACTCACCCTCTGG